TGCATTTATCCTTGTTAACACTATTCTAAAATACAATAACCGATACTGTAGAGTGACTATATCGAGGTACGACTGTATAATAAATAAATTAATTGTATACTTAAATAGGTATATAATTAACGACCTAAATTGGCTCGGATGAAATGAAATGGGCGATCTAAAGAGGAAAAAAATGTATTATTATAATAATGCTGACAAAAAATCATGTTATTAAATGATCGTGTGAATTTTGATCAAATATAGAATTTAGTTATGTTAAAAAATACATCAAATTGTTCATATTCGATGAGAAAGTTCCCTGAGATTGGCAATGCTAATATTCCTTTTGGTGAAATGGAATCGGAGTCAAAAAAGATGAAGTATTATAAGAAAGCTGTCGACATAATCACTTCTACAGTATCGGTTATTGTATTTTAGAATAGTGTTAACAAGGATAAATGCAAAATTTTTGAATACTTTTGCGTTATTTTATGTGTCTTGCTGGAGAAATGTACAGTCAACTCTCTCTAAACCGGACCGAATAAACCGACCACTTAATAAACACTGTGAAAGCTGAACACGAAGCTTTAGAACATTTATAAATTTTATTAATAAGTTCAGATTAGACATTTAAACTGGACTTTCTAAAAATTTCATATATAAGTCTGAAGTGTTCAGTTTAAGCAGAATTGACTGTATTTGGTTTTTTTATGAAGAAGGAATCAGGATTGGTAAGAGTGAACATAAGGCCTTCAAACATTATCAAAAATCTAGAGTCTGTCAAAGTTGGGAATTGTGGAATTGGAGTTGAAGATGAGCGCGAAATGTTTGAGTATTTCTGATATTGAAATGCTGATGAAATTGGAGTTGAAAAAAATGAGAAACAGAAATTCGAGTATTATCAAAGATTAGCAGAGATGGGAATACACAATGTTGAATATTGATATCAAGATGGAACTGGAGTCGAAAAGGATAAGAATAAAGCATCCGAGTATTATCAAAAATCAACAGATATGGAAGATATTAAATGTTAGAGATTGTTATTCAAATGAAACTTGGTCTATAAAAACGAACAGAAAACATTTATATACTTTCAAAAAGCGGCAGATAGGAGTGGTGCTAAAGGAACATATAACCTTAGTGATTATTATCATCGTGGAATTGGAATAAGGTTAAGTGCAATCCATTTGAGTGTTATTATAAAGCTATTGAAAAGGCCTTATTGAAGTAATAAAAAATATTGGACATTGTTATGAAAAGGAATCAGGATTGATAAAGAGAAAAGTATTCGAATATTATCGAAGGCAGTCGATATGGGATACACTCTTTGAATATTTAATGCTGGTTATTTTTACGTAAATTGAAATGGTGTCTTGAAGGATGAAAGTAAGACTTCATTTGTGCAATATTATGAAAACTGCGATATGAGTGATATGATTTCGATGAAATAACTCACATATAAAAATTTTGGATTTTTAGTCGTAATATAAATTACATGTCAAATCGTGACATTACGACAAATTAAAGACATTCTGCGAAACGCAGTAAATACTATTTGGGTTTTACCTAATATCGTAAGCAATAAGACCACTAGATCCAAATATTATCAGAATATGTTTATATTTTATTTCAAGTCTTTTATATAGATGAATTTAATACTGTAATATATAATCCTATGTTAATCTGATGCAAAATCCAATGATATAAGGTAAATTCGAATTGAGAATATCGATGAACTAATGACCAGACTGGGGTGCACTCTCACTGAGAAGAATCGAATGATCACCAGAATTTAATGCTGGTTCACGAATTACCTCAATTTGTTATTGTCCCTTACATGATTTTTGTCAATCACGAGATACGTCGGTTCTTACAATTCGTCAAAATGCTCCAATTTACCTTATATAAAAACTTTCAAATACCCATTAAAACGATGCAAAGCAATCAGCTGAGTGATGATGCGCGTTAATTTTACCAAATGACGTGATGTAGATCAGAAGAATCAGGAAAATTGGAAAGTCCCTTATTGCTATTCCTTGAAAAACCGGTATAACTGACCCAAATTTGGGGGTCGTCTAAAGCAGAGCAGAATCACGTGATTACTGTCCAATCATATTTATGATCGCCGGCGAAGAAACCTGAAAAATACAACCTAATTAAAAATGTTGAGAAGGCAACTTTGCTTATATATGAATACCTAAAACCTAACCTAACCCTAATATAAGATGACCCTAACCCTAAAGTTAATTCAATAAAATATATATCCGCTTTAGACGTCCCCCAAATTTGACAAGTATCATCTTTGTTTCCACCAGATGACCATATATCGATCGGATTCCAGTATAACGATAAATTCCGTGGTATCACTTTATTTCATATTGTAACCCATGCCTTCACGTTTTAAAGGTGACAAGTTCGAGCCGTGTGACTTATTGGTGTGTGCAACAAAAAATTTACGAAATCATGAAATGTTACAGTAATACTGTCGTAATACCGTACGTACATGCTATAAAACAAAAACTAAAAATTAAAACTATTGAAGTTGTAAATCTACTGAAATATTATTCAGACAATGAACAATTTTAATTTTAAAAAAAAAGTTGTAAGTCGTTCTTCTTGCGTCCTTTTTGTTCAACTAGCCCTTACGTACCCTTACCAGTTTACCCTTCGTATTCCATCCGTCCATTAGCTACGGAAAACGGGTGACTCAAATAATAGTAATGGTAAACCTGGTAGCAGTACAAAGCCTTCAGCAAAGAGTTCAGGAAACTCAACAGAACCCACTCCCGCCATAGTTGTTATAAACGTGGGGGAACAGGTTGGACTAGCTATATTTTATTTCACAAAGGCTCTGACGATAGATATCAAAAAAATCGTGACTGATATATGTCTTTCTGGCTTAATCTGGTGTTTTTATTTTTCTCAGAGGGGGCATACCTCTTCAGATAGCACTTCGCCTATTTCTCCTGCAAATAACCATAAGTCTCATTCAAAAGAAGACCCTCCAAAGAGAGACCCTTTGAATCGTTTAAAAGGTGCTCCAAAAGATGTTATTCCTATCAGTAAAGTTCCGCGGCGTCAAAGGTCATCGAGATTTCATGCCTCAGCAGGATTAGTTGAATTGGAAAAATTACCTAATTTCAACGGTTAGTCTTGACAATTTACCCATTTTAAGAACTCACCTTCGTTAAGATAGCCATTGAATAATTATATTATAATGTCAGAGGTTTCACCGGATAAAAGACAAGAACTTTTCCTAAGAAAACTTAATCAATGTTCGGTAATTTTCGATTTTAATGATGCAAGTAGTGACCTAAAAGGAAAAGAGATAAAAAGGTCTACATTGTCTGAGCTCTTGGAATATATTACTACAAATCGTGGAGTAATTACTGAACCAATATATTCAGAGGTCGTTTCTATGGTTAGTTGTAAATTTATAATTTAGATAATATATTTTTCGTCTTAATTTAGTAGATAATAATATTTGAATAATAAATCTGCTCATGATTTGCTAGTTTGCTATTAATCTTTTTAGAACCATACCTCCACAAGTTAATCCTATCGGTGATGCTTTTGACCCTGAGGAAGACGAACCAGTTCTTGAGCTTGCATGGCCACACCTTCAGATTGTTTACGAATTCTTTCTTCGATTCATTGAGTCACCCGATTTCAACACAAACATTGCCAAGAAATATATTGATACACAATTCATATTACATGTACGAATACTATTCAATTTTGACTGTGTGGTCATTCGTTTTCTTGGAAAAAAAAGATCCTGAATTTTTTTTCTTCCTTTCGTATTTTTTTTTTTTTTTATTGTTTTGTGCTAGTTGTTAGAATTATTTGATAGCGAAGATCCAAGAGAACGTGACTTTTTAAAGACGACATTGCACCGAATTTATGGAAAATTTCTAAATTTACGCGCATTTATCCGAAAATCGATTAACAACGTGTTCTTCCAATTTATATATGAAACAGAACGTCATAATGGTATTGCAGAATTATTAGAAATTCTTGGAAGGTAATATCTTTATGGACACGTATGTTTCTAATTATATTTAATTATTTATATAGGCTAATCATCGTGTCACTATTTCTAGTATTATCAATGGTTTTGCATTACCATTAAAAACAGAACATAAAACATTCCTCACAAAAGTGTTGATACCTTTACATAAAGTCAAATCATTGACATTGTATCATCCACAATTAGCTTATTGTGTTGTGCAATTTTTAGAAAAAGATCCTTCATTGACAGAAGAAGTATGCATATTCCATTCCAAGTTAATATAAATCAAAATTAATCATTTATTTAATGTCTTCCCATATTAAATATAAAAAAAAAAAATTAGGTCATTTGTGGCTTATTAAGATACTGGCCAAAGGTAAACAGTCCCAAAGAAGTAATGTTTTTGAATGAGATTGAGGAAATCTTGGATGTTATAGAACCACAAGAGTTTGTAAAAATTCAAGTACCATTATTTCAACAAATTGCACGATGTGTATCGAGCCCACATTTTCAGGTATTAGCTTTTAGCATTTCAAAAATTTATACGACGCAATATTATCTTAATTAACGTATTTTAACATGAAGGTTGCTGAAAGAGCTTTATATTATTGGAACAATGAGTACATTGTTAATCTGATAGGAGATAATGTAAATGTCATTTTACCAGTAATGTTTCCTCCTTTGTACCAAAATTCTAAAGCTCATTGGAATAGGTAATATATATATATATATATATTTTTTTTTTTTTTTTTTTTTTTTTTTGTTATCACAAATGTTTAATGTTTTCTGATTATTTAAAATTTCTCATGCATATGTTTATCTTATATTAAAGAACGATCCATGGTTTAGTATATAATGCGTTAAAGTTATTCATGGAAATTAATCCAGCACTGTTCGATGAATGTACGGCACAATACAAAAGAAGCCGCCAAGAGTGAGTATAGATTGCTTAAAGCATTTGATTAATATAAATTGTTAAAAATCGATGAAATTGCTTTATTTGACAGGGAAAAGAAACGAATGAGGGAACGAGAGGAAACATGGCATAGGTTAGAAAGAACAGCTGCACATAATGCTCAAGGTCTTCCGTTACCTTATGCAATTGGTGGTCCTTTAACATCTTCAAGAACTAATGTAGCCAGTGAGTTAGGTAATTTTCATCCGCCTTAATATTTTTAAAGTGAATATTTTGTCCATAGAATTTCTGATCTATAGACCCCTACTTACAACGTATTTGGTTTTGAAAACTTTATAGCAGACAACAATTCTGATGAGGAACCCGTAGAACCTAAAGGTGACGTACCAGAAGATAACGATGTGCACGGGGAAATGGTTTGCTTTCTAAAATTATATTATGTTTTTTGTTTTTTCCTTTATGTTGTCGTTCATTCTTATTGCATTTCTTTCAGCAACCATTTGAAGGAGGTGGTGAATTCAATCAGTTTCGCCGTAAATCCATCATACCTGTTGATGAAAGTGTGTTGTCTGAACTATCTAGGCATCGTAGTTTGGACGAAGTTCTTAACGGACCTCCTGCTCCTGACGGAAGTAACTTAAACAACCCCTAATTTTTTTTACTTCGCTATAGATTTTTTCAGAAATTTGCACTAGATGTGGACTTGAATGTATTGTAGGGATAATGGGATTGGCAAACATTATTAGAACTATGGATTAGTTTTTGTATTTTACTTTTTCCCCCCTTTTTTTTTTTGCTTTTACATCATTCGTTCACCAGACAATGATAGAACAAAAAAAAAAAAGGTCGTGAGACGATGATTGTTTTTACTATTTTTTTCTTTTATTGTTTGATACCACTCAGACAAGTAGTTCTAATTTTCCATGTTTCTTGAAACCTAACGAGAACATATCCTTTAAAATTAACAATATATAATTGACAAAAAAAGGGATCATTGAAGACTTGTAATTCTGTGATACCGTCACATTTTAAATGTAAAAAAAAAAAAAAAAAAAAATATGGGCATCGGTTTTAGCTGACTAGTCATAATTTCCAATAATTTTAATACCTCCTTAATTTATGGATCCACACTCGAATTATTATATCCTGTGGCTGATAAACAAGAGAAGGTAATTGGAAGATATGAAATATTTGAGAAGTTTAAGTAGTTTTACCAATCTATTTTAATTAATTAAATATTTATTAATAAAAATAAAAAACAAAAGTAAAAAAAAAAAAACGTACAATATTTTTTAGATACATATATATAAAACGATATCAAAACCAAAAAAAAATTGTCCAGATGAAAGTATTTGATCGTCGTTGTTGGCGATTTAGCATCAGCCAGTAAAATTGACTCGGTCGGTTTTTAAAAAATTTGACTTAATCGATTTTTGATTAAGTATCTAGGAAGTGATATATCAGTCGATCAATAAGTCACATGTGATATAATCGATACGTATAAATTTTCGTATATACTGTATAAATTTGCGTCCTGGCCTAAAGACGTATATGACCTTTATGATCTATTATAAGTCATTTAGTCATAACGAAGGTTATGACCATGACTTTGTTATTACTAGCTCTCCGACCCGGGCGATGCCCCGGGGGCGTGTTCTCAATTTTTTAGTTTTTATGTACTTTTAATTTTCGTTAATTTGTAGTTAAAATATTTGTAGTTATAATGTATATTAATAAAAATAGCTATAATATAAACTTAAGTATTTTTATTATTAGTTTTTTAGTTTTCTAGCTTTCTAACCCGGGCGATGCCCCGGGTGCGCGTTCTCGATTTTTTTACTTTTTATATATTTCTAATTTTCATTATTTAATTTAGGATAAATCTAAACAGTGCCCCGGAGCACTTTGTGCCCCTATAGCAAAATTGAGCCTGCAATAGTAATTAGGTTAGATTAAGGTTAGATTTAAGGTTAGGTTTAGGGTTAGAGTAAGGTAAAATTGTGAGAGGAATATTGCTTATGTTATACAACAGGGGTTACCTAGTTAAAATTTTGAGATTTTGGTGATTTTATAGTAATGAGCACAAAGTGCATGGGGCACTGTCTAGTTATGTCCTTTAATTTATTAGTATTTAAATCTTGCAAGTTTTTAGAATATTTAAGTTTTTTAGCTCTCCGACCTGGGCAATGCTCTAGAGGCATGTTTTCAATTTTTTTTAGGTTTAAGTTTTGATAAAAATAGTTTTGATTTAGTTTTTAACTTATTAAATGTTAGTTTTTTAGGTTTTTAGCTCTCTGACTCAGGTGATGCCCCAGGAGTGCATTCTCAATTTTTTTTACTTTTAAAATATTTTTAATTTTCATTATTAAATTTATTAATATTTAAATCTTGTTTCTAGAATAAAATATAGACTTTAAGGGTAGGAGGTATGTAGATCATTGTCATATGATTTTGTGATACAACATGATTTTTATAAAAAATAGAAATAGGTTACTAATAAAACTTTTTACTGTTGCAATTAATTTTTGTTAAATTTTTATAAT